CCCCCCTCCCCCCTGTCCTGCCCCCCCCCCCCACCTGCTGGCCCCTTCTTCCCCTTCTTCTTCCCCTTCTTGCGTTGGTTCAGCTGTTTGAAAGCCTCGGCCGCCTTCTGCAGCCGAGCCACGAACCACTCGATGTCATCCAGGGCGCAGTTGAGGATTTGCTGGGGTCAGAGCCGAGGCAGGGGTCAGTCCGAGGCACCCCCACCAGCTGGAGGTCAGCCCCACGCACCGTCTCTCGGTCCCTGGCCTGGGGAGGAGGTGGGTGCTGTCTGGGGGCTGCACGGCCAAGACCTACCGTTTCCTTCTCTATCTTCTGAGCCAGCAAAGCCCGCGGCTCCTCGTCCTGCGACTCCCGACGGCGGAAGCCTGGATGCGGGAGGCAGAGGTCAGGGGCCACTGAGGAGGCCACCCCCGCGGGCCGCGACGCAGCGCCCGCCCGGCTCCCCGCGCGTACTGGGCTCGCTGAGCGGCGCGGGCAGGCCCACTCGGTTCTTGCTGGACGGAGAGTCACCGCCTTGGCGCTGAAAGGGGATGGGGGCCGGGCCCTGGGGGGCGGGCAGGACCGACTGCCGCTGCCGGATCTTCTCCCGGTGGCCTCTGCAGCGGGGGCAGGGGGCGGAGGCCCGCTCAGCCCGGCCCCGCTCAGCCCGGCCCCCGCCCGCCGCTGCGCCCCCACCTACTTCAGGGTCTGCGGCCGCATCTTTTTCCCCAGACGGCAGTCGGCCAGCGCGCTCTCGATGTCTTCGTGCACGAGTTCCGCCTGGCGGGCCGCGGCGTCAGGCTGGCTGCGGGGGGGGGGGGGGGGCCCGCCCCCGCCCCCCCCCCCCCCCCCCCCCCCCCCCCCCCCCCCCCCCGATCCCCGCCCCCGCCCCGGCCGCCCCTCCTCACCTCCACCTCGTCGCAGTGGAAGAAGTGGATGTCGGGCTTGCTCTGCTCCGAGTCCTGGCACACCAGCAGCAGCACGGACGGGTACCGCAGCTGGTCCAGCACCGTCTGGCTGTGTCGCACGGTGGGCAGCGGGAAGTTCTCCAGCTCTTCCTGGGGGGCAGGGGCCTCGGGTGTGGGCTCGGCCGGGTCACACGCCCGCGTCCCCCAGGGGCGCCTCGAACCCGGGCCCCGCCGGAGGCGCGCTCACAGCCGCGGGCGCGGGCGCGACTGGCGAGCCCGGCCTGTGGGGGGCGCCCGCGGACGCAGCCGCACACGGTTGGGGCGGGGGTCCGACGCAGCCCCGGACCGGCTCCCCGGCCCCCCAGGCCTCACCGCCCTGCTTGCCCGTCGCCCTCAGCCTGCCCCGCCGCCGCCGGAGCCCTGCCGCCGGGCACCTGGGACTCCACGTCCAGCAGCCGCAGGGACTGGTCGTTGACCTGCAGCAGCATCTCCTGCGTCCAGACCTTCTCCTTGGAGCTCAGCTGCACCAGTTTCCGGATGGCGTCCTCCACCGACACGATGGCCTCACTCTTGTCCATGATGAACGTGGCCAGGTGCTGGGGGCGGGCGGACGGTCACTCCCGGAGAGCCCTCCTAGCGCCCAGAACCAGGGCCTAGAGGCTGCCCCCGGGGCCGAGGAGCCTGGGGTGGGGGCGGACATCCCTGCCCTGGGGGGTCTGAGGAGGGAGACACAGCCCTACCTTAGGGGAGGGTCTCTGCTCTGCCTTCGTGGGTGTCTGGGGGCCGAGGACACGCTCTGATAAAACCTTGGGAGTCCTCCGCAGACCCTCACCCCTCCCCATCTCCTGTAGCTGGGCTCCAGGAACGCTGGCCTCCCTGTTCTCCAGAAGACCTGCCCAGGCTCACCGCAGGGCCTTTGCACCGTCTGCCCCCACCTTGCCTCCCGTACTCTTCTCTAGCTCTCCTTTCGTTCAGGGCTCCCCTCAGACCTGCTGTCCCTGCCTGGCCACGGCATCACTCTCCAGCCCCTGGCCTGCCTTGTTTTTGATGATCACGATCCGACATTGTGCTGTGCATCATATGCTCCTTCATTTATTTTCTGGCTGCTGGGTTCACTGCTGTCTCCCCATGCCGGGGACAGTGCCTGGCACACAGTAGGCCCTCAGTGAATATGCCGGAACGGCCATGTGGGGGGCTCATGTGGGGTGGGCCTTGGGACCTCTTGGCCAGCCACCTCCTCCCATTCCAGGGACCCTCCTCCTTCCTCTGTCTCCAAGACTGACTCAGGCTCCTCCTCCTCCCTCCAGACCCCCCCCCCCATGTGTCCCGTTGACCTTGGCTGAAGTCAGTCAACAATGATGCAGCAGCGGGGGAAACACTACATTAAACTCTAGGCGGTCTACTGCCTAGACCCAACTACAAAACTACAAAAGTGCTAGAAGAAAATACTGGATGATTCCTGACAATCTCAGAAAGGCCTTCTTCACAGAGGCACTTCCCCTAAGCAAGGAAGAAAACCTAGAAGCCCAGAAGAAAAGACCAAAAAATGTGACTTAAGAAAACATCTGCTTGGAAAAAAAAAAAGACCATATATGAAGTAAAAAAAAAAATTTGGGAAAAGCAAATGTAATAGACATAGTGAGGACTAATTTTCTTAATATCTATAAAGTCTGCCATGCATTACAATGACAGCTCTTACTTTGTTAAAGGCTCTACTTTGTTGAGTTATTAAGAATGCCAATGATAAATGAATATACAAATGAAAAAGATCCGTGACTAAGTAAAAGATTAACACCCCAATAGAAAATTGGCAAAAGATATGAACAGAGACTCTCCAGGAAAATCAATATAACTAACTTTTTAATACAGAAGATTGCATGTAATCTCAATCAATAAAATAATTGTGAGTAAAAGCCTGACATTACTTCTGAGATGAATCAACTGCTTAATGTTTTACCTTTTCTCATTTTTCATTTTTTAATGTTTTATTTATTTCTGAGAGAGAGAGACCGCATGAGGAAGGGAGGGTCAGAGAGAGAGGGAGACACAGACTCGAAAACAGGCTCCAGGCTCTGAGCTGTCAGCACAGAGCCCGACGCAGGGCTCGAACCCGTGAACCGCGAGATCATGACCTGAGTTGAAGTTGGACTCTTAACCAACTGAGCCACCCAGGCGCCCCATTTTACTTTTTTTCTAAAGTTTATTTATTTTGAGAGAGAGAGAGAGAGAGAAGAGAGGAATCCCAAGCAGAGCTGGACGCGAGGTCTGAACTCACAAACGATGAGATTATGACCTGAGCCAAAATCAACACTCGGACGTGTAACCGACCGAGCCTCTCAGGTGCCCTGTTTTACCTATTCTGTTGCCCAGCACTAACGGCTTCTTGGGGGTCACACTTGCAGGTTAGCTGTAGAGAAGTGGGCCCCCCACCCTGCACCCACGGGGTGCTCTGGGGAGAAGCCCGGGACACCTGGAAAGGCAAACACACTCTCTCTGTCGCAGCTCAGAGAACCTGAACATGTGCACAACATGGCACATGCACCAGGATGCTCGCTTGCCCTGAGTGTGACAAGAAAGGGTGGTCCCAACCTGCGAGAGCATCAGCAGTCAGAGAGATGGGTGGGCGGAGACGGGCGGCGGGACGAGGCAGCTGACCCGCCAGCGGGAGGCAGGGTGACCCCAAAGCACATGTTGTTAGCAAAACACAACACGACGAAACCCAACAAAACCACGTACCCGGCCGCGAAACAAGTCTCAGTGCATTTCAAGTGACCCAGACCCCGCAGTGTGTGCTCTCTGACCATCGTGGTAGTAAAATAAAAATCAGAACCATGTGATAAACAGAAAATGCTCAAACAATTGGGAGATTGAGCAACCCACTCCTACGTAAACAACCATCAGGTGAAAGAAGTCACAAGAGAAGTAAGAAAATACTCAGAAACAAAAACACCGCACAGCACAAGGCAGGGGACGCAGCACAAGGGGCGGGGGTCGTAGCTGTAAATGCACGGACAGAGACAGGTCGTCCGGAAAGAACTGTTCTGAACGGAATGACAGTAAAGGCATGGGCATCGGCCTTGCAGGATTTTGCTAACGTAGTTCGTGGAGGGGAGTGTACAGCGGTAAATGAATATAAGAAAAGAAGGACTATTTGGGGCGCCTGGGGGCTCGGTTGGTTGAGTGTCTGACTTTGGCTCGGGTCATGACCTCACAGTTTGTCAGTTCTATCCCGTAGGGCTCGCTGCTGTCAGCACAGAGCCTGCTTTGCAGCCTCTGCCCCCGTCCCCTCTCTCTCTGCCCCCCTCCCCCGCCTTGCACATGCTCTCTCTCTCTCTCAAAAATAAACATTCAAAAAAGAAGGAATATTTAATATCAGTGATCTAACCATTTCCCTTAACAAACTAGAAAAAGACACATAAATCCCAAAGTAAGTGGAAGGAAGGAAATTAAGAGCAGAAACCAAAAAGGAAACAGACAAACAATAGAGAAAAATCAACAAAGCCCAAAGTTGGTTCTGAAAGGGTTAATGAAAGTGATACACCCTAGCGAGATTGATCAAGGAAACAAAACAAGAGAGAAAACACACGTTAATCAATCACCCAAAAGAGGGGCGCCCGTGTGGCTCAGTCAAGCATCCACCTCTTGATTTTGGCTCAGGTCACCATCCCAGGGTCCTAGGCGTGAGCCCTGCGTTGGCCTCTGCGCTGACACCTTGGAGCCTGCTGGGGATTCTCTCTCTCCCTCGCTCTCTGCCCCTCCCCCACTCTCATGCGTACGGGAACCCTCTCACTCTCTAAAAACAAATCTGTCTAGATCTATGTCCGCACTCTCTAAGGAAAAGAAACCATATGCGTGTGCTCTTGCGTGCTCTCTCTAAAGTACACATATATACATATATGACCTTCCTACAACGAAAACCCTGCATTTAGAGGGCCTCACAAGTGAATCTTGACAAATACTTAAGAGAGAAAAACAAACTTTCACAAATGATTTCTGAAAACCAAAGAGGAGGGAATATTTTCTCACTCGTTTTCTGAGGCCACCATAATTCTAGCACCAAAACCAGTTGAGGCTTTGCACTAAAAGAAAAATTACAGACCAGCATCTCTAATAAAACACTAATGCAAAACTTGCTCAACAAACTATTAGCGAATTAGTCCATTAACACGTAAAAAGAAGAATGCATGTGCCCACATGAAGTTGATCCCAGAAACGCAGGGTTCGTTCCTCATGCAGAAAAATCTGTCAGTGTGACTGATTTACAGTAACAGCAGGGAGTACATCTCTGAAGATCCAGAGACAGCATTTGACAAAGTTCAACACCTTTCATGATGCAAGTTCTCAGCAAACAAGGAATGGACATTAGTTTCCTCACTGATAAAATGCATCTACAAAAACGACAGCATATATAGCGGGGAAATACTGGATATCTTCTTCTAAAATTGCACCCAAGGCAAAGATGTCCGCTCGCGGCTTGTCCGCGGTATTTTACTCCTGATCGCAGGCAGGCAATGAAGCAGCAGAAGTAAAGTGGCTCCAAACAGGATTGTGGGCGCTGTATTTCAGACTACCTGGTTGTACACGGAGTAAATTCAGTGAATCTACACGCAAATCACTAACGTGAACCAGTGAATTCAGTGTCCTGGTCCACTCGATCACTGCACAGAAGTCCAACGGTTCCTCCACACGCTAACCGCAGATAACTGGGAAATGGCTTTAAAAGAAAAACCAGTACCATTTACAACAGTGTCGACGAGTCAAACACCTAAGGAACGTTCTAAGAAAAGACGCGCAAGTCCTCTGCGGTGGAAACCACACACACTCTCTGAGAGAAGTCAGAGAAGCCCCTGCGTCCACAGGCGGGAAAGAGTCAGGATCGTTTAGATGTCAGTTTGCACTACGGACATACAGAGCTTTGACTCGATGCCAGTGAAAGTTCTGGCGGGCTTTTCTGGGGGCAAGGGATTGAAATGGACAATTTGGTTCTAAAACGTAAAAGCAAGCACAGATATCTTGGAATAGTCGAGAAAACCTTGAGGAGAATATAGAGTTGGAGGGCTCCCACTGCCTGATTTCAAAGTTGGTGATACAGTTGCCTCGAGTGAAAGACTGTGAAGCAGAAGCGTCCACAGACAGACCCATCCACATTCAACTACACATTTTTTGACAAAGGCACCGAGCGAGTCAATGGGAGGACAGTGGTCATACGGCTGCGCATCGCAACGCGGGAAAACCTTGAGTCTCACACCCAAATGTTAATTTCAAATGGATCATAGGCCTAAGTGTAAAAGCCTCAACCCTGGAGTTTCTCGAAAAAAACTCAGGAAGAGCTCTTCAGAGCCTTGGGTCAGGCAATGACCCCTCCTCACCCTCCACGCCCCCCCCCCAACAAAACCGCCCTGACCATAAGAAAAAGTGGATACGGTTGGACATCATCAAAATGAAACACTTGTGCTCCTAAAGTCAGGTTAAATCACCAAGCCAGACTGGGAGCAGATATTTCTCGTCCACACACCTGACGATGTGCGCCAAGGACTCCCAGCCGGCAGGAAGGCAGATGTGCAGAGCGGGCTGTGGAAGGGTCGCCAGGGGCCTGGCACAGCTGGTGGAGAGGCCCTGCCCCACCCCGCCTCCCCGAAGCCTAGAGGTAGAGAGTATACAAAGAGGCGCGCTGTGCTTTCTGGAAACAAGGTTACTGAGCAGAACAAAGGCGTTATAAACTATGTGAATTCAATTATGGGAGGGGAGGGATTCTCCAAAAAGTAAAGCTTCAGAGGTGTAGGAGAGCAGTGCTGCTGGCGGTGGGGAAGACCGCCCGCCGGGGCCAGTACCAGTGAGCTTTGGGGTGACGGAGCTGTGGGCCACATGGTCACGTGTCCTGACCATGTTGGCAGTGACTCAAACCTGAAACAGAACCGCCACCCCCACCCTCAGCTTTACTGTACGCCAGCTTAGAGGCCTTAGCACCCCCCTCTCCGACCGGTGGGTCTGATCTTGTCCCCACCTCTTACCCTCTCTCTGGGCCTTCCTTCCTCATCTGGGACAGGCAGGCAAGACCGCTCACTCTCCCTGCCTTGCTGGCTGCTGGGCAGGCAGGAGAGGTGCCCCCTGGGGTCTTTGCACAGGTTAGCTTGAACCAAAGTTCAGAAGGGCTGGGAGGCCCCAGCGGCATAGGTGATTGCTCACCAAGGAGGGCAAAGTCCCCCCCGTCCCCAACCCCGAGAGAGGCAGCTGTCCTGCCTGGGAAGGAAGGGGACGAGCTGACCTGTCCCCATTCAGTGCCCTGCCCTTGGACCTGCGCCAGCAGCGGTCCCCAGCCTGGCAGGGAGGGCCGCTCCCTGAACACAGCCCAATTCAAGGCCCTAGGGACTCCCAGTGTCTCCTGAGGCTCAGAAAGTAGTGACTCGCCTGCTTCTGTGGGCATGGGGGTTCTATGGGGAGGGAGGTCCTCATCTTCCCGGCCCAGGCCCCCCCTTCCTGGTCCAGGGCCCCCCTTCCCGGCCCAGGGCCCCCTTCCCGGTCCAGGGCCCCCCTTCCCGGCCCAGGCCCCCCCTTCCCGGTCCAGGGCCCCCCTTCCCGGTCCAGGTCCCCCCCTTCCCGGTCCAGGGCCCCCCTTCCTGGTCCGAGCCCCCGCTTCCTCCCTTCTCAGCCATTCTTAGCCCTGTTGTTCTGCAGGTTTGGACAGTGGCTAGGAACCAGGTAGGTCACTTAAAAAACATACTTCCGGAGTTCTAAGTGTGAATCAAAACTGACCTAGAATAAAAACACTCCTGAGCTGGCAGCTGGTCTTGAGTTCAGTTAACCAGTCTGGACTCTCCCTGAACCCATCAGAACTGGCCGTGAGAGGCTTTCTCTGCAGGAGCCCAGTAAGTGTGTCTATGTCGCATCTTCTGCCTCCTAATCTAGCTCTTTGTTTGGGGGCCAGGATGACAGGTTCCTTCCCGCAGGGTCTTCCCATCGGACGCTGCCAAACAGCCCCCAGGGCTTGTCCTTGCCTGGCCCGTATGGCCACCGGCATCTCTGCTCCCCTGACATAGCTCCAGGGCTCCTGTGTCCCCCAGGCCGTGACCTTCCCGGGACTGGAGGACAGGCGTGGGGCAGCCCTGGCTCTGGCTGCCTGCCGTGGGGGTCAGAAGCTGGGCTGACCACTTCTCCCCGTGCCTTGGTTTCCACACCTGCCCAGGGACCCTGGGGTGCTCCTCAGGAGCTGGCCTCACCTGGACATGGTACTGGGAGGTCTCATGCATGATGATGTTGGAGTTGGAGTACTTCTTCCTCTGTTCTGAGCAGGGAGTCACCGGTCACTCACCCCAGAGGGCAGGACCCACAGCCCCTAGTTCAGGTGGGACTGGACTCCCAGGTTGGGCCACAGGGAGGGCCGAGTGGAGGCGAGGGGTGCTGCCGCCAGAAAGGACTCAAGGGTGTGAGATGTGAGTGAGGCCCCCCAGGATGGCCCCTACCTAGGAAGGGGCCCCCGAGCTCAGAGTGGTGATAGGGGTCTGCCCTTGAGGGGGGCAGAGTCTCAACAGCTCCTCCCACGCGGGCGCCTTGCCCACCTTCCTGGGAAGGGGTCCAATCCAGGGCTTCCCCCAACTCCCAAAGCTGCCAGCTAACATCCCGCGGCCCCTCCCCGGCGCTCCCGGCTGGCCAGACAGGGCACCGAGTGCAAAGGCATAAACGCGTGTCTGCGGGGAGCGGCGGGGCCGGGGGCGGTCCCGGCTGGCCGGGCCCCGCCCCCGCGGAGCAGACACCTGGCGCCCCGCCCGCCGCAGCCCCGCCCCCCGCTATCGGGTTGCCGTGAGGAGGGCGGCCGAATCAATATCGATGGCTCCTGAATTATTAGTAAAGGCCTCTCTCCTTACGGCGAGGGAGGGAGGGATCTGAGCAGCTGTTGATTAATTAGGGTCCCGGGGCTTCCTTTGGGCACCCAGGGCTGACGTGCCTCTCCCCTGGTGGGGCCCCGGCACAGCCTGGGGGAGTGGACTGGGCGAGACCCCACGGCCCAGCCGGGAGACTCACTCACCAAACAGGTCCTTGGCACTCATCTTGGCCACACCGTCGGACCGGCCCAGGCTGCCACTGCAGGGGAGGGGCCGGTGAGGGCGAGGCCCACACCGCACCCCTCCCTGGGGACTGCTCCATGGGTGGGGGTGGAAGGTATGAGTGCGTAGGGGGTGGGGACTCACTTGGCAGCACCGGGGCAGCAGCTGACGGACCCCAACTGGCTCATGGCGTCCTCGGTCGTGGCCGGCGATGAAGGCCTGTGTGGCCTGAGTCCAAGGCCTAGTGGACAGGGCAGCCGAGCTGACACCTCACTGGGGCCCGGCCAGTGGCTTTTGTGCTCTCAGGGCGGGGCCTGATCTCCTCCTCCTCCCACCCCAGGTCCAGAGGCTGCAGTCCGGGTGTCCGGGCCAGACTCCCCAGTGTGCCTGGGCAGGGTGTCCTCAGGGAGCAGAGCCCCCTGCCTCCCGGATGTGGTGGGACCTCGAAGCCAGTGTCCCAGGTGTCGCACGTATGCCCCTATCTCACTCCAGACCCTTGGTCCTCCACAGGGCACCCTGGGATGGGCCAGTAGAGGGGTCCCACTCCTGAGACTGTCTGGGGTGGGGCTGCAGGGACTGGGGTTTCCGAAACGGGACTGGGGAAGGAACCACCTTCCAAGCAGAGGGAACGCACATTCAAAGGCCCTGAGGCGGGTGGGAGCCAACGTGAGAGGACAGCAGCACAGCATGAGACTGGACCTGGGATGGGGTTGGGGGAAAGGTGCGGCCCTGGGGACCCAGAACCCAGAACAAGCCCTCACGGGGGTGAGCAGAACCTGGTACCCCTCAGCCAGTCTGATACGTCCTATGGCATCTGTGCCCCCTGGGACCTCTCACAAGGCTGTCCCTCAGTATTGGGGGGCTGCTGGAGTCGGGAGTCATAGGCCAGGGGTGCTGGTACCTATGGGTGGGGAGCACCCTAGGACTTTCTGGTTGGGTCCGGTCGTACCTACAAGGAGGGCTTTCAGGAAGTGTGAGGGGTCTGGGGGCTTTGGGCTACCTCCTCCCATGTGCCACTGAGAGTCCTGACTCTCTCAGGACAGGTGGGAGTGGGGCTTGGTCAGATTCCTCTGACCGTCTAGCCGTGGAGAATGTCCGGAATGCTCATGACCTCAGTGAGTGAGCCGAATGTTTGCTTAATGGGATTCCTGTCGGGCTGAGCCAAGGGCACTGGGCACGTGGGTCCAGGTACACACACACCTGGCAAAACCCAGGCCCCCGGGCACACACAGGCACACACAGGTTGTGACACACGGCCCCTCTCCTTGGGGAGCCTAGGCTGGGAACACTGTGGCCTTCGAGTCCCTGGAGCCCGGCTGGGGGCCTCGGCAGGGTCAGCCAGAGGGCTGATTCTGGGGGCTGGCATCTGGGTTGGGGAGCAGCTGGGGGAGGGGCGGCCCACAGCCGCACTCCAGTCAGCTGACCGGGGCAGGGGGCTGGGCAGTCCCACGGGAATGGGACAAAGCCTGGGGCCCGGGCTGCACTTTGGTTTTACTGCGGCCATTTTCCGGGTGCAAAGGGAAGGCCGAGCAGGGTGACTGGCTGGGCCGCGGAGGAGGCCCCAGCAGGGCAGGGAGGGTGGAGGCATCAGCCCCAAGTTCAAATTCCAGCTCGCAGCTGAGTGACCTTGGGGAGGAGTCGGCTTAAAGCCCAGAGAGAGCTAGGCGGAGCCCTGGACTGGGGGGACCCCCCAGGCGCTGGCTGAGCCCAGGTCTGGGAGCTTCGGGCTGGGGAGGGCCCAGCGGGGTTGGTAAGGAGGGATGAGGCCTGGGAAGTCTGGGTGGGGGAGGGGTGGGCTTAAGGCTCACTGGGGAGGCAGGCGCAGAGGGCCCAACAGAAGGGGGGTGTGGGGAGCGCTGAGCCACTGAAGCGCCGTTCTAGGCAGGCATCAGGAGAGGCCTGGGGCAGGGGTCTGGGGGGTGGGGGCGAAGTGCAGAGGTGGGGAAGGAGAGACGTCATCAGCTGGGCCCTGGCTCCCAGCGGTGCTGGGGCCACCTCCACCCAGAATGGGGGCAGAGGTGGTTTTTGGATGCACCTCAGAAGGACCTCGAGCCTGCCTACCCTCCTCCCTGCCACCAGGGACACCTTCATGCACAGGGGCCACTCGGGGAGGAGGGATCCGGGGTAGCCTCGGGTGGGGCACACACAGGCCCCTGCAACACAGCACCCAGCCTCCTCCTCCCTGAAACTCCCACACCCCTTGACCCAGAGCCTGACCCTAGCCTGATGTTTCCCCTGGATTTCCTTCTGGCTCGGACACCCAGGAAGTGCCTCCTGACCTGACCCACAGGGAGCCGCTGGCTCACCTCCGGCGTCTGGCCGCCAGGGAGGCCCCAGCGTGTCCTGTGGAAGGGGGGTTTGGGGCCCCCTCACCGGAAGAAGGGGTTCTCTCCGCCAAGCCCGGGGTTGGGACCGGGCCGGCTGACTCAGGTGCCACCGGCGCCGCCCCAGGACCAGGCGGGACAGACCAGGCCGCACGGGACCGGGCTACTTGGCGGCGGGTTCGGCGCCCCGCTCTCGCACCCCGTTGCCCCAGGCGCATGGACTCAGGCCAGAGCCTCCAGTTTCACAACCACCTGGGGAAACTGAGGCCGAGACGGACCGACGTCCGTTCGCGGGACTCCTGGGTCGCTCCTTGGCCAAAGCGCCCGCGCGTGCCCCGCAGGCAGGTCGGGGTCCGCCGGGGGGGTGGGGGGGACCCGTGGGGCGCTCACCTGCTGCTCGCGGCCCCGTGCCCGCGCCGCCGGTGGGTCTTCTGGTCCGCGCGTCCGTCCGCACGTCGGTCGTCTGTGGGCTCCTCGCCTGGGCGCCCGGGCTCAGGCGGCGGGAGGGACGCGCGGCTGGGCCGGGCCGGGGCGGGGCCGCGAGGAGGAACCTGAGCGGCAGGTTAGAGACCCGGGGGGGGGGGGGGGGGGGGGGGGGGGGGGGGGGGGGGGGTGGGCACGGGACGAGGACGCCCCGCCCCTCCGGCTCGGCCCCGCCCCCGGGGCTCCCCGCGGACGGCCCCCAACACCCGCCCCCGGGGACCCCTGGGCCTGCAGACCCCACCCGCGGAGCTGGGGCGCCCGCGGACGGTAGGAGGATGGGGAGCCCTTCACCCGCGGGGACGCGCTGGCTGCCGAGCAGGCTGAGGCTCTAAGATCTGCACAGGCTGCCGGGTGTCCCCTGCCAGGTACCCCCCGCCTCGGAGGCCGCAGCGGAGGGGCTCCCCAGGGCCCCGGACCCCAGGACAGAATCTCCTCCTCTTCCGCTGGCGGGTGGGGGAGTGCTAGGGCCAGGCTTTAGTCTTCGAGTGGGTGTCAGAGGTATGATCGGAGGCCAGAGACCCCAGGCCCTGCGCTGAGTTCCCCGGGCGGGAGAGGGCTCCCTCCTCCACAATTCAGGAGATCCTAGAGTCTTTTTGTGTAGCCCCAGCCAACATGGGCGTCCCCTGAGGGATGTGGGTGTCAGATGGGAGGGCGGGGACGCCTGTGGCCCATGCTGTTCTCTGGTGCCAGGGCCCAGAACAGGTGGGGGAGGGCACTCCCGGCAGCGCCCCCCCTCCCTAGGCCCAGGCCCCACCCTCTGCGCACCGCACAGGGCAGTCCTCCTGAACGGACTCCCAGGATGCCCCCTGCTCAGCCAGCTGGGGGGGGGGAGGAAGTGAAGGGGCAGAGGGCAGGTCGGGGCAGCAGTGGGCCCCCCCAGGCACATGCAAGGACCCCAGGGCTCTGGCTATTATTCCTGGGATGGTGTGGGGGCGGAAAAGGGTGCGTCAGAAGGCAGGGTCGCAGGGCAGCTGGCCTTTGTTTGGCAGGGACTGGCGGTGGAGTACTTCCTGGGGAACCCCCTCGGGAAGGGAGGCACACTAGGCCCTGGACAGCCAGTGGCACTGCCTTTTCACAGGTCACCGGGACCCGGGGGGCGGGTCTCCCCACCTGCTGTCTGAAGCATCGCAGGTGAGCTCCCACAGGTGGGGCAGGAAGTGGCCTTCCTCTTGGGCGCAGCCGTGCCCGAGCCCTGGCAGGACCTGGCTTCCTGGCTCTCTCCCTTACTCTGCTGAGCACTGGGAGAGGGAGGCGCAGGCCTGCCCTCGTCCTTCCTGGAGATGGGGCCTGGACGGGCAAAAAGTGGGAAGGGCGGCACACGAGGGAGCAGCCGAGGTGGGCACTATCGCACTTCTGCAATGAAAGTCATTGTCCTCAGACCAGGACTGACCCGGCAGGAGGCAGCAGAGCCTGGAGGCCCAGGCTGGTTGGTGGCCATGTGGAACTGTGGTGCCCTCTGGGGACAGCTGGCTGCCACCTGTGTGTAAGGTAAGTGATGGGGGCGTCGAGAGCCCAGCTCAGGCAGGTGGTCATGAACCCTTGAAGGCCATGGGTGTCAGGCTGCCAGTGTCTGTGGGGGAGCTGGGTGGGCTCCTTCCTAAGTCCGCATGGGCGTCGGTGACATGAGGCTCCGCTGAACACTCGTGCCAGCAGAAGGGAAGTGGGGAGGGGGTGCCCACTGGTCCAGAGCAGAAGTTGGCAGAGCACAGAGGTCATGCTCTGCTTGCCCCTGGGAACGCCAGAGACCATGGGGGTGCGTGTGTGAGTGTGTGCGCGCGCGCATGCGCGTGCGCTGCTGCGGCCTCTCGCAGAAGCCAGTCCCTGGGGGGTCCAGGAAGGGCCCTGAAGCCTGGCCTGGCTGCCTTCCGGGGGAGGCCTGGTTGGGGTGTGCGCTCTTGTGTACGGAGCAGGTGGGTGGCCTCAGGAGAAATTCAGCGAGGTATAAACATTTCTTTATTTCCACAAAACGGTAAAGAGAAAATACCCAGATATCCAAACACGTTACTCCAGACGTGGATAGTACGCAGTACCACCAAGTGAAGGGACCGGAGAGCGGGAGCTCAGGGTCCTTCTGGAGCCCTTACAATCTGTGAATGGGAAAAAGTCACAAACAGAATGTGTAGAACAGAGTGCAAACGTCCCTGGCATTTTAATGACTGAGGCTTGGGTGTGGGGGCACCGAGGCACCAGGCTGGGGCAGCGGAAGGTTCTCCGCCGCTGGCCCGTTCCCTGCCTCCCTCCCGTCAGTGCCCAGGCCTCAGCTGGCCCTCCTTCAGAAGCCGCAGCTGCGAACGTCCCCCCAGACACCAGGGCCCACGGGCTCCCCACACCACCCCGGCCTGCGTCCTCGCACCCACGAGGGAACCGGCTGGACATGGGCAGGAGGCTGCTTCTCCTGGGAGGGAAAGGTGGTTTGTGGCCACAGCTCCCTCCTTTCCCAAGGGCCTCGTTGCCCTTCTGGGTGTCGGATGTCAGGGCAGCTACTGAAGGGAGATCCTCACCAGCCAAAAATGGGCAGATGTTCCCAAGGTCCCCAGGGAGATGGCCGGGCAGCTCCTGACCCTTCCCGCAGCTGTTGCCAGCAACTCCCCCGGCTCTCTCTTCTGCCCTGGGCTCCTGACCACCCCCACCACCCACAATTCCTAAACCACTCCAAAACATCCAACCTCCCCACACCGGCACCCTCCGCATCCAGCAATGGGGGAGGGGGCGGCCGAGTTCCCAGGTGGGGGCTTCTGTGCAGGACGGTCAGGCCGGAAGAGGCGGGCACTGCCCGCCTAGCTGACAAACGCAGCAATGGCCACCAGCTGCAGGATGGCCTCCAGGCCGTGGAGAGCCAGGAGCGCAGCGCTGAGGATGGAGTCGGCCCGCAGCACCAGGGTCTGCCAGAGCAGGAAGTGGGTGGACAGCAGGGCGCCGCCTGCCGTGAGGACCAGGCTGCTGGCCAGCGGCACTTCTGCCTCCATCAGGTTGCCCTTGGTGCCTGGAGAGCGGAACACATAGATGAGTGGGGGCGGGGCTCCAGGACGCCTGCTCTGACCCACCTGCACCCAGGATGGCCCCGAGGCTGCAGGGAGGCCAGAGGCCAGCTCATCCCCGGACGCAGGGCCGACGACGCCAGTAGAAGGTTCTGCTGTGGCCACCACATCACTCAGTCGATGTCAGAAAGCACAAAGGCAGCGGGGGTGGGGTGTGTGTGTGTGTGTGTGTGTGTGTGTGTGTTTTCTACCCAGTCGATGTCAGAAAGCACAAAGGCAGCGGGGGGGGGGGGGGGGTGTGTGTGTGTGTGTGTGTGTGTGTGTGTGTGTGTTTTCTACCCAGTGAGGATAAAAACCAAGTGCAGCTGTAATTTCTGAGCCTTAGTCTCTGGGTCAGTTCGAGGTGGGAGAGGGAACTTGGTTTTCTAAAAATGATCTCAATTGCTTTCTGACACCTTTTCCTAATTCCAAGTGGACTGAGGAGATTCTGTTTAAAATTTCCAAAAATATTTCACCCTGGGCTAAGGTCAGTTCTGGAAAGTCTCGTGCACGCTTGTAAAAACATGGCATTTTACAGACAAATGGGTCATAGGAAGCGCTGACCCCCGGCGGCTGCAGCTGACTGCAGGTGCTCAGGGCGCCTGGGGAGGGACAGGCGGACAGGTGCCCGGAAATCCCAGCCCCACCTGCCACCTCCCGGGGGCATGGGCTCATCTGTGGTGGCCCAGGAGACCTGCTTCTATCCACCAGTCCGGGGTCTGATGACGAGGGCATGTGCCTGCTATCCCCACCCGCCCCCCCCCGGGGACTGGGCGCTGCTGGTGGACACGCACAGGCAGGATGTGCTGATGTGCAAGGGCCCGCAAGTGCCACTGCATCGGCTCCCTCCACTCTTCCAACGGAGGGACCATTTCTACACACATCAGCAGAGCACATGCGGTGTGAGCCCATTTTAGAACACAGATGTGCTGGTGTGTGTGTGTGTGTGTGTGTGTGTGTACGCGCCTGTGGCCATGAAGGTAGGAGGGACGAGACGGGGCTGGGAGCCATGAGCACCCTGTGTGGTGAGCCCTGGCTGGAGCAGGGTGGGCTGGGGTGGGCTAGACAGCAAAGCTCACGCTGTTCGAGAATGTAAATGGGGAGCTGGCTGAGGGCACCTGCAGTGGCCTGGACTGAGCAGGCCGGGTGCCCTCTTCCCCCTCCAGGCTCTGTCCCCTGGAGAACACTCCAGACCCACCCCTACAGACTGTGGAGGCCGATAAGAGAAAGAAGGTGGTGAGGTGGAAATCTGGGGCTCCTGAGTCAGTAGGCTGAGCTGGGGTCTGATCTTGGTGCTGGCCGTCACCTTGCGGCTTGTACAGGACATGCTCCCAAACGGAAGTGTCTCTCCCCAGGATGCCGCCAGTGTTAGGTCTCGTGAGTAAAGCTTCTGAATAAACTAATTAATACTTAAAGGCGTTGTAAGGCAAGCTTGCAAAGCATGTGGTTAAGCGGTTGACATCAAAAGTGTCTCTAAGAACCACGTTATAAAAAGATGGATGTCTTGGGGCGCCTGGGTGGCTTAGTTGGTTAAGCGTCCGACTTTCGCTTGGGTCATGATCTCGCGGTTCGTGGGTTCGAGCCCCGCGTCGGGCTCTGTGCTGACTGCCAGCTCAGAGCCTGGAGCCTGTTTCAGAGTCTGTGACTCCCTCTCTCTCTGACCCTCCCCTGCTCGCACTGTCTCTCTCTCTCTCTCCTAGAAATAAATAAAAACATTAAAAAAATTAAAAAAAAAAAAAAAAGATGGATGTCTGAAGGTTCTCAGCATGTACGCTAGTGATTCTGCAACCCTAAGTACCACGGGGTCTCCAGCCGACTCACCCAGGTACAGCCGGACCGCTTCCAGAATCCCCATCAGAAACAGCAGAGTCAGGTCGAGGGCCAGATAAGGACAAGGATAACTGAAAACCTGACCTGGAGAACGGGCAACAGAGCGGGGCTCCAGTTACGGGGGGCAGCGGCAGGGGCGCCTCCTATGTGCCTCTGTGATTAGGACGCCTGGGTGGCTCAGTCAGTGAAGCCGCCGACTTTGGCTCAGGTCCTGACCTCGCGGTTTGTGAGTTCAAGCCCTGCGTGGGGCTCTGTGCTGCCAGCCAGCTCAGAGCCTGGAGCTGCTTCGGATTCTGTGTCTCCCTCTCTCTCCACCAGCTCCCCCCCCCGCCCCCCGCCGGGCACGCTCTGCTCTCTCTCTCTCAAAGGTAAACATTAAAGAAAAAAAAAAAGGACTCACTTTTATATACGATCAGCAGCAGTGTAGCCAGGAAATACAGGGCGCAATACGCTGCACTCAGGTAGAGCAGCACCTGCAGGGACACGGACGAGAGCTGGCCAGCAGTTAAGGACTCGCAGACCTGAACACAGGGCGAGCTTCGCCCCATCTTCGCAGGTGCCCGAAACAGGCAGGTCAAGTGTAGGCACCTGCGGGTGGCCACGGGGACCCGGCCAGCGGCTCCCTGCCTGTGGGGGCTTCTGCCCATGCTCCTCCAGTGTTGCAGACACCCTGGCCTGGAGCCAGAGGGCTGGGCTCGTCCCTGGTGACTGCAGGCAGGGTGGCCAGGCTTCCCTGGGGGCATCACCCTGATCTGGGCCCAAGTTACAAACTAGAAAAAAATGAAATCTTTTCATTTTCTTCACAAAAATATATTCTTTTTGGGGCGCCTGGGTGGCTTAGTCGGTTAAGCATCCGACTTAAGCTTAGGTCATGATCTCGCGATTCATGGGTTCGAGCCCCGCGTCGGGCTCCGTGCTGACTGCCAGCTCAGAGCCTGGAGCCTGTTTCAGTCTGTGACTCCCTCTCTCTGACCCTCCCCTGCTCACGCTGTCTCTCTCTCTCTCTCCTAGAAATAAATAAAAAATTATATATATATAAAAAATATATATATATATTCTTTTTGGGGGCAGTTAAATGTCCACTAACTTCCCCGAGCTCCATACACTTCATATCTATTTGTGGTAAAAGGACTCTAAATATTGAAACAGGGGGGTCTTCACCCTCCTGCTCCAGATGGGAGGGGGAGGGCAGGCCACCACCCACTCAAGGTGCAGGGCCAAGAAGGGGGGTGATGGCGCCAGCATGCTCCGTGGAGAAAGCCCTAGAATTTTCTATATCTGCTAGTGAATGGCCCTCCCACTTAAACGTGGAATTTCTACTCAGAACTTATAGAAAAGGTGGGGGCAAAAAGCAGAAACCCGGAGCTGACTTCGTGAGTCCGGCAAACCGGCCCCCAGGAACCGTGCTGTGGGGGCCTGAGGCGCGCTGGGGGCACGTGGGCACGGCAGAAGGATACCACGGCGGACGCAGCTCTCCCTAGAAGAGAAAGGACCCGTCAGGGAGGCCCCGGGCGCAGCCTGGAAGCTTTCCTGGGCCATTTCCGATGCTGACCCAGGACCCTGGCTCCACTCTTTTGTCCCATATTTACAGAAAGAAACATTTATCTGGGCCTGCAGTTGCCCATCCGAGGACCTGACGCTGGCTTTTCAGAACCTGAGGCTGGGGCAGAGAACGTACTTGGGCACTCAGCGGTGGAGAGGAAGCGAAGGCTCCGTCCACGGCCGAAGTCAGGATGGCCGTGACAGGGTGACAGGGAAGGACAGCGCCCTGGTCAGACAGACGGAGGACAGCTCCTCTCATCTCCTGTGGTTTCTGTACATTCACCGCGTGGACAGAACTCGATGGAAACCTCTTCTGATTCGGGGGACAAATCTTTTTTTGTGTAGCGGTGAGACACTGCTTTCCCTGGGGTTTCACACGTCACCCCAAATATCCCTCTGACACGGATTTCCTAACACGGGAACCCAACTTCTTTCACTGGTGTGGCTCCTGGGCCTTTTCCCACCACGGCAGCCACAGGTCTCACTCCTAGGAGGGGGGTCTCAGTATCACAGGTGCTGAGTATCTCTAATCATTCCGTCCAGTGTATCCTGCCGCGGATCTCCTGTCTGAAGAGGCTCACACTGGTGGCACATTTGTGACATGTAGAAACCTCAGCAGTGACTGCGAATTGGGCAAGCTGACCCTACAGGAGGCCTGAGCTATACCGCGGGCAGCAAGTGGGCCAGCGACAGGAACCAGCCCGCTGGTCCCTCCGGCTCCCCTCCCCTTATGCCTTGGTGATCTGGTAAGCAGATCCAGGCTCACGGGGCAGGGGTCCTAAATGGGTCAGCGCAGAGATTCGGAAGTCAGCCTCAAGGAGAGGCAGCAGATGCAGCGGTGGGAAGCCGGGGGAGGGCCCGCGGAGCACGGATCATTTATAAACTTGCATCACATTACAGGCGGCGGGCTCTTGAAACCCACCCTGCTCGTTTCCAGGCTCTAGCTAAACCCGGCTGCCTCTACTGGCCATTATTTGGGTGGATTTCATAGTAATTGGGGTTTTCCTCCCTTCTGATTCTTCTCTTGAAGGTTGGCTTCAGATATTTGGAATCTACTCGCCGGCTAGCCACTGTTACGGATCAGAAGTGTGGCGGCTCACGGAAACAGTGCTGTATAAAAACCTTCTGTCATTTAAATAATTAACGTTAAAGGTGGCTATCACCAGATGGGCTGCTCTACGGATTTCGGACCTACAGGAGCTCATTCTGACAAAACACAGCAGTGGCTTTTAGGACCTAACACTTTTTGTAAATGACTGAAATAACAGTGTGTCTCTGAACAGGCGTGTCAGAAGTACACGTGGAAGTAAAAGGAGCAAACGTGCCCCCTGCCCCGAGGTGACAGACAAGGTGTGCACAGAGATCCTGTTCCGCATAAACCTAATTTTTCACCAAATGAAAACATGTCTCCTCAGCAGCGGCCGTGCACCGGGGTCTGAGGAGCGGGCTCGCCTCAGCACAGACTACAGAGGCCACTTCTGTGGAGGACTTGCTGCCCAGCGCACTCCCTCCTCTGGCTTCCCCGCAAGTAGTTTCTGACAGCTGAGGTGTGGAAAGCGGCTTTTTGATCCCAGCGAGCCTACAGTAACACAGCCCCATCCCTCGCTCCCACGTTTTTTTATTACCCAAGCAGCGCACACAACAGCTGCTGTTTACTGGGTAGTCAGCACTTTAAATGACAAAGTGATGGGCACAGACCCCGGCGACCTGAGCAGGACGCACACGGAGAGGAGGCGCGCCCACCTGTGTGCCAGCCGGGGGTGGTCCGCAGCGAGAATAACAACTCGCGTGACGCTCCAGGAACCAGCGTCAGGGCGGTGTGCGCGACGGGAGCACACGCCGGCTGGAACCCGCTCTCCCACAGGGGCTGCGACACGGCCCAGCACGCCGTCCTGGACACGAAGCCGCGGGCAATGGCGACCTCCGGGCCCCTCTAGCCCCTGGGCCCGAGGACAACCTCCTGCCTCCGCGTCACCGCACACAGGCCCCTTCGCTCTGCAGAGAGCGCAGCCGCTGCGCAGGGCAGCGTGGCGGCTCCGGCACGGGTCACACTGCAGCCACCCGGGACCTCGGCCCGCCCCGCGCGCCCGTGACCCTGCACCCCCTGGCCTGCCCTCGTCCCCTGCCGCCACGACGCGCACTGCGCAAAACGGGGGGCTGGCCGCGGGACGTGGCGGGGCCGGGGAGGGGAAGAGGCTCTCAACGGGCCCCGGGCCTCACCCCGCGACTCGAGACAAAACCGCCGAATCGCACGCACAATGAGAGGCCCCAGACCAGTCGGCCTTTCCGACACCAAAAAGAACCAAAGCGAACTGGGCCCCCTTCCCAGGATGACCTCCGCTCCCGCCCGCCCGGGGCCCCGGCCCAAGCCTCCGGCCGACAGGCGCAGCGCTGTCCCGAGCCCTCCGCCGGCGCCCGACGCTCCCAAGCCGCCAGCCCCACGCCCTCACCTCGCCCCGCGGCAGCCATCTTGCCGCCCGGCCCCGCCCGCCTAGTCCGCCGCGATCCCGGCAGTCTCTCGGCTCCGCGCTATTCGCGTCCCTTCGGCCATTTTCGCTTCTGCTCCCGAAGGCGCCCGACCGCCCGCGCTTCGGGAGTTGATTCCGATCCGCGGCCGAGGCCCCGATCAACCCGTCCGGCAGCGCTCGGGCACTTTCGTACAGGAGGAGGCGGAGAGCCGAGTCTCGGGAGTATCCGGCCTCGGCAACGCTCGGCTCTGTTCGGCTTCACCTCGGACGGACTCGGCTCCCGCTCGAGGCGGGGGCGGGCGGAGCCTGCGACGAAAGGTTCTCTTGGCCCGGCCGCCCTGCGTCGGAGGCCGGCGAGATTCCGCCCCACAGTCGGCGACCCTGTGGCGGGGGACGACGGGTGGCGCGGCCTCGTAGGCGCCGAGGAGGGGGTAGCGCAAGGCCGCTCGGAAGCCTTCGTGCAGCCTCGGACCTGTTCGGACAGACTCGGCTCCGCACTTCGGGCCGCTTCGGCCCTCCTCGGTTCCGGACTCTTGGCTGTCGGCGGGGCTCGACTGGGCCGCTTCGTGCCGGTTCGGCCTCTGTTCGGGCAGTCTCGGCTCGCCAGAGCCGTAGGCTTCGGGCAGGCTCGGCTCGGCTCGGCTGGCAGCTTCGGGCGGCCTCGGCCCGGCTCGGCTCGGCTCGGCTCGGCTCGGGCGGCCCTCCTCGCGCTGCGTGCTTCGGGCTCCGTCCCGGCCTTCGGGCGGCCCCGGCCGGCGCCTTCGGGCGGGCTCGGCGGAGTCCGGATGGAGGACTCGGACTCGGCCGCCAAGCAGCTGGGCCTGGCCGAGGCGGCGGCGGTGGCGGCCGCGGCCGCTGTGGCGGCGGCGGCCGCGGCCGCGGCGGGAGGCGAGGCGGAGGAGCCAGTGCTCAGCAGGGACGAGGACTCGGAGGAGGACGGGGACTCGGAGGCAGAGCGCGAGACTCGGCGGGTGACGGCCGTGGCGGTGATGGCCGCCGAGTCCGGGCACATGGACATGGGTGCCGAGGCGCTTCCGGGCCCCGACGAGGCCGCCGCGGCCGCAGCCTTTGCAGGCAAGTGCCGCCCGCCCGCAGTGGCCGCGCGCCGGTCCGCGCACACAGCCCGGGCATCGTGCGCACCTGCCCTCACGCGCCGCCCACGCACCTGTTAACACCCGATCTGCGCGCGCCGGCCCCGGACGTAAACCTGTGCACCTGTGTGCACCCCCCCCCCCCCCCCCCCCCCCCCCCCCCCCCGCACACCACACACAAGCAGCCCACACCAGCCCCGCGCGCACCTGCCCTGCACGGCCTCGGGGACCAGCCTGCCCCGCCTCCCCGAGCACGTGCCTCTCACATGCCTCACACCTACCTCGTGTGCCCTGCCATTCCTGCACGCCTGCCCCATGTGACCAGCCTGACCCTGCCCAGAGTGCGCACTTCCCCGAACCTTCTTACCTCGTGCAAGCCCCATTCCTTCCTGTTGAGCACTCTGCCCTTCTTCCAGAACCTTCTCAGCACCTGCCTCTTGCCCTGCTTGTCTTCTCTATCTGTCTCTGGTGCTGGTGACACGGAGGGCTAGGGAGGGGAGTGGGGATCAGACATGGATCCTGCCCTGGAGCAGCCTGAGGTTGGGTGTGTTTGGTCACTTGGAATCCTACGGTCCAGTTCAGAGGTGACCTGAGAGCTGGGGTGCAAGGCAGTGCTCACCCAGCTTGGGAGGCCCTCCGGGCTTTGGGAGCAGAGGTCAGTATTATGCTTTGGCTTCTTAGACCCCCCTCTTGGTCTGTCCCTTTCTCCCCACATCCCATTTTCTTTACGGATCTTCCCTTTCCCCTAGTGTTACTGGCAAGCCCCCCTGGGGGGGGGTGGGAAGCTGGCCCATGGCTTTGTTTCTTGCCACGCAGAACATTCTCGTTCTCAAGTGTCATGACCCATGGAGCCTCAGACTGTGCCCCAAAGCGTCCTTTAGAAGTAGTGCCTCCTCAGACCACGATCCCAAGGAAAGTAGAGACTCCCCGGGTGTTGGACCCCCTCCCAGCTGGGAGCTCCCCAGCGAGTGCAGGGGCCTGGAAGGGGGTCCTCCAATTCCTGCCGGCACGTGTTGTCAGGCACTTTCCCCTGAGGGGCCAGCAGCCTCTGCCCCGGTGTTTATCCAGCCCTCAGCCGCGGGGGGGGCGGGGGGGGGCGGCAGGCCATGTCCTGCTTGCCCCAGAGCTGCTGGTCTGTGCGTGGTCTGATTGGGGTCCTCACAGAAGAGGGAAGAAGGCTTTGTGGCTACTAGCGCATCCAGTTCTCATCACTCAATTCTGGTTTGATGTTGGGACTTTGGACCATGCTGTTTTCTTCAGGTTTTTGTGCGTTTTGCATCTTTTTTGGATGCAGAAAAGAAATATGATGTAGTTCATCATGGCATCCGAAAAAATGTATTGGCATTACTTGTTTTTTTTCTGCAAAACGTTGTAGTTGTGTTTTTGCATACGCGAAAGCATTAAAACTTTCCTGTTCGAAGTTGCTGAGGTCAGATAACTTCCTGGGGCAGGAGACTCTGCAGGATGTATTTCCTCTCCGAGCCCCTCTCCTCTGGGCCAATAGCTGCTTGGCCTGAGCGTATGTTCAGACGGGGATATAGGCTGTGGTCTGGTGCAGTAGCAGCCGGGAACAGCTATTTTCAGTGCAGTCTGGTGGGTGCTGGGTTAGTGGAATACGCAGAGCTCTTTGCACTAGTATTTTGTGAGCACTTTCCAGGTCAGAGATTGCCCTAGGTGTGGGCCCTTCTGGAATGCTGTGTGACGGAGGGGTCCACCTGCCCAGCCAAGGGGCAGGAAGGAAAGCTTCTCCGGTGGGCAGTGAATGGAAGAGGGGGTCAAGGAGGAGGCAGGAGAGACCTACACCCTGCCCTGTGCTGACCTTTGAGAGGGTGCCAGGAAGGGAGGGGACTCTGCAGGTGACACTGCCCAAGCCTGGTCACAGCATGATCACAGGACTCACGGGACCTTGGTGTATGGTGTTACCCAGGGGCGGTGTGGCAGAGCCCGCTGCCGGCTCCTTGGGAGGGGGGCGGGGGTGGGCTTTCTCTGTGAATAAGGCTCTAAGGGGCTGGAGAGCGGCCTCTTTCTTTTCTTTTCCTAAGGCCCAGATTGCTTAGGCTGGTCCAGAAATGTTGCGTGAGCACTTGGTGTAAGAATGTTGGGGGTCCTTGGTGGCAAGTGCAGATGCCCGTTTGGGAGTTGCTGCTCTGGGCCCTGGTGGGAGCCCCTGGCCCTGGCTGTGCGCTGAGTCCAGCTCCTGTGTTGCAGAGGTGACCACTGTGACCGTGGCCAACGTGGGTGCCTCCGCAGACAACGTCTTCACCACGTCGGTGGCGAATGCCGCCTCGCTCTCGGGACACGTTCTGGTAAGCTGCTCTGTGAGCACTTTTCCCCAGACTCCAGAGCGTGTCCTCCGGGACCCCAGTCCCCCCGAGGCCCTGCGCCAGGATGTGTGGGCGCCGGGAAGGGTGTGCTCTGGTGTCCACTCTTGTCGGACGACCGCACGAAGGGGCCCTCCTGGAGCTTTGCTAGAACTATCAGTTACGGTTCCCTTCACTTTCGCCTTAATCACACCCCTGGGGCGCTGCATCTGAAGCAAGGTTGGCGGCCTCGTCCTCAGTGGTAACCGCCGGGCACAGACCTGCGGGGCTTGCTTTCCTTCTCAGGTGCCAGCTGATACTTTCACGCCTCCCTCCCCGGAGCAGATTCGGGTTTGTTCTCTTTTCTAGAAGGGGCTGGAGCCAGAGGGTAAGGGAGCCAGGGCACAGGCTGGACTGTGCCTCCTGGGTGCGCAATGTGTGGCGAGTTCTGAGGACAGGAGGCCCGGAGACCACTGGGTTCCTGCTGGAAGCTGGGGAGGAGAGGGGTCTCAAATATCTGTGTGTTCTGTTGGCCTTAGTAAGGAAAATACTTTGCGGTGCGTGGGGGGCTCCGTCGGTTAAGTGTCCAACTTCAACTCAGGTCATGATCTCCCAATTCGTGGGTTCGAGCCCCACGTCGGGCTCTGTGCTGACTGCTCAGAGCCTGGAGCTGCTTCGGATTCTGTGACTCCCTCTCTCTCTGCTCCTCTGCTGCTTGGACTCTTTCTCTCTCAAAAATGAACAAATGTTAAAAAAAAATAGTAAGGAAAATACTTTGTGATTCATAAATGAACACAAAACATTCCCTGTTTTCAGAAGAGTGTTGCCTGTTTTCAGTGATTTGGACATGAGCAGTGTGACACCCTTACTGAGGCCCTGACCCTCCAGGCGATGAGTGCAGGCCTGGGTGCGTGTGCAGGGGCGCGTGCTCATGGGGTGGGGGTCTCTCAGCTTCACGAGGAGCTTGTACTCAGCTCCCCTGATTGGATTTTCAGATGTAGGAAACGTCTTCTCCCTTTGCCTTTGCTGCTCCCACTCTCACCATGCAAGTGTCAGAATGTGCCAGAATGCTGGGTTTGAACAGGCCGCTCGGAGCGTTGTCCCACCCCAGGGCTATCTGGGCAAAGCCATGAGTTTGCCAGAGACCCGCGAGGTGTGCGCCTAGGGACAGTGGGGTGGGCCTCTGCTCCATCAGGGACAGGAGAGGGACATCTGGCTCACCCGGGCGAGCAGGGCTGCTTGGAGGGCAGGGGCCGACTGGCCCAGAGGAAGTAGGTGCCATCACCATAGCACCCGGCCACCGGGGACAGGCATGTGTGTGCCGTGGTTGGGGAGGCCCTGGTGTCTGGTAGCCATTAGTAGAGCTGTGCCTGTGACCGTGGTCCCTCAGAAGCCTTCCTCGAGACTTGTGAACTTCCAGGAGCTGCTCAGGTAGACGGGAGGGTTCTTCCTGTTTCTAGGACATATTTGTGGGACACATTTGTTTTTTTAACTTCAGTAAGTGACTTGAGCATTTGTTCAGGGCCACTCAGACATGGCAGTGTGTTTTCTTGTTCTTGGCTCTGTGTTTATGTCATCTTTTATTTTTTATTTATCTTTTAATTAAAAAAACTTTTTTAACGTCTTTTATTTTATTTTGAGAGACAGAGACAGAGTGAGTGGGGGAGGGGCAGAGAGAGAGAGAATCACAGAATCTGAAGCAGCTCCAGGCTCCGAGCTGTCAGCACAGAGCCTGACGCGAGGCTCGAACCCATGGATTGTGAGATCACGACCTGAGCCGAAATCGGACGCTTTACTGACTGAGCCACCGAGGTGCCCCTTTTAAAATTTTT